TAAAATACATCACATACCTTGAGGTGTAGGACGACGTCAAATTACTGCTTTAGAGGTCGTCGTCGGTCTGAAGACGACGGTCCACATGACGTCACTTCCTGCTGCGCATGCGTAGTAACGGTGTTCTCATAAACGGCGTCGTCGTCGTGCAAACGGTCGTCGATTCGTAAGCTCTCTAATATAACCCTCGGCCCTCTTGTATTTGCTGCAATTTATTGTCAGTGCTTCTAAGAAAATCTTTGAGAGAAGAAATGAAAATTGCCTGTTGCTCTCTTATTATTTGTTCCAGTGCTCACTCGACGTATCATCAACTGTTAATTTCTGTCCTATGGGAAATAGTAGTATATCAAGACCCCGTCATACGATGCTCGGCTGGAGAGCTTTTTATGGTGAGTAGGACAGTGTCTTTTCTTTTTTGAGGGGAGGGGTGGATGGTAGAGTAAGGGACTGTACAACAAGACCATGTTATACGATGCTCGGCTGGAGAGCTTTTTACTGTGAGTAGGAAAGTCTCTTTTCTTTTTTTGACGGGAGGGGTGGATGGTAGAGTAAGGGACAGTATATCAAGACCCCGTCATACGATGCTCGGCTGGAGAGCTTTTTATGGTTAGTAGGACAGAGTCTCTTTTGACGGGAGGGGTGGATGGTAGAGTAAGGGACTGTATAACAAGGCCTCGTCTTACGATTCTCCGCTGGGAAGCTTTTTTATGGTTAGTAGGACAGAGTCTCTTTTTTGAAGGGAGRGGTGGATGGTAGAGTAAGGGACAGTATATTAAGACCCCGTCATACGATGTTCGGCTGGAGAGCTTTTTATAGTAAGTAAGGTAGGGATGACAGTAGTATATCAGGTCCTCCTGCTCTGATGCTCCACCGAAGAGTTTATGTTATATTCATTATATAATATTCATATAGTATTGCCATGGTAACCGCATTAACATATTTTTTTCCAGGTTCTTATTARAGGTGTTGATGTAGACACCATAAGCAGACATGTTATACCAGCTCTGGTTACGTTAGCTTCTGACTCACATATGTAAGTTTTCAAACGTTAAGATGACCAGTTAAGAATTTGTAATATTAATATAATAATTATTTCATTGCAGGTCAGTTCGAACAGCATCGATCCCTGCCTTCGGTTCTATCCTAGAGAGCGTTACCGATAAAGTCGTATGTATCATGTTAGTGCAGTCTTCGTATGACTGTGAAAAGCTCAGTGCCGTAAGCGTGACGTGCCGTGACCGTGATACTTTCYMGAACTTTAATTGGCTGATCTTTTTCACGCGGAATATGATTGGTCTAAAAGTGCCGTGATCTTGGCGTGACCGTGTCCGCGCCGTGTTTATGCCTTGTTTAGGGTATTTGATTGGATGGAGAGTAAATTCTCGTGCAATGTGATTTGTCTGGCGTATCCCTTGCTCTGTCACGACCGTGTTCGTGCCGTGAACTTTTCACAGTCATACGAAAACTGCACTATGGTTATTATGTTATTATTAAACTGATACTTCATGTTTCTCGTAAAAAAGACAGAAATAATGTCTTAAAACAAAAATGTTCAGGAACTGAACTAATAACCGCTCGCTCGGAATGCACCGATCCCACATTTATTKTTCTACCTTCCTAATTACTGTTGCTACGTCGGACAAGCTAATATATTTTTTCTAAATACASCATGAAACTGACTACGATAGCTGAAAATTGATAACTATTTTTAAAATTTATGAATTCGAGTTTGTTGGTCGGACATTCTATATTCTGTATTGGAAAAAGTAYCCATTTTTTGCATTGGTGGAAACTCGAGCATATAGCCGGGATCGGTCTATTAATTGCATTTTGCCGCGGCACGGCACGGAGCATCCATATCGTTTCATATGAAAAAAATAGTGCAAAATTGTCAAGAAAATCAATAAAAAGATTGCACTTGGAAAACACGATTGAAACTAAAAAGAAAAACGAAAAATCATTAAAAAACAGTCCTAATATTGCTTGTCTATAATAATAGATACTCGATAAGGTTTATATGCAGTTCAAGTCATTCATAGAAGACCCACAGTACAGAAATCAACACGATCTGCAACGAACCATGATTAAGACGTTTGGTAAAGTTGGACCTCATGCAGAGCCGCTTTTTAGAGATAAAGGTAAGTTAGTAGATCTAGACGAATAGAATAGAATAGACCCCTTGCATTGATTTCCTAGAGGAATTGTTCTGGGGAACAAAACAATAGGCCGTTTCAATTTCTTATCCAAAAAAAAAATGTTTTATCCCCCAGAACAATTCCTCTCTGGACTCGGTGCAAGGGTCTATGAGGATTGTAGTAGATATATGAAAATTACCTTAACAAAGCAACAAAAAATAATTTTAAAAACTACAAAAGATAAAAAAAATAAAACTACGCAAAGTGGTTCTGGAAGTGTATGAAATAAAAGGTCACCGTGCTCGTTGAGGTTTATAGATCTGTCAAACATCAAATGCCTTCTTTTGTCGTTACAGTCATTCTTCCAAGATTAACAGCCATGGCTTCCATCAACAATGACTGTGAAAATGAAATGCTGCGTCGAGAGATCGCACTGGAACTCCTTGAGGCTTACGCATCTCTCACATGTTGTTGTATCCTTGAAATCCATCCGATGTGTTTTTTTTCTGCTTCTACCCGAGTTTCCTCTGGCTTCTTTTACATAACAGAGTCGTTGACAAAAGAACAATGGACTACTTCAACGATACGGCGGCCATCTTTAATCGCAAGGCATTATGGG